GGTGGGTAGCTGTCCGTGAGGATGAGGGGAACAGTAGCGGGCAGCAGCGAAGTAGCTGCCCACTATCTGCATTTTGAAGAATTCACTGGGGACCAGCTTACCTGCCATAAAAATGCTGGGAAGTAGGAATTCCCAAGAATCTTTTCCAAAGACCCTTATTTTTCTCAAAACGGTAATACATGCACATGGAAAACCAAAAGCAAACAGTTTGAAAAATGTATAGAGGGGAAAAATGTCTCTTTCTACCAAAAACAGCCCCTTGGTTATGAGCCTAATCCTGGAAAGTTAGCACCTTGAGAAAGGCCCCGCCCTGCCCGTTGCACGTTCGCTTGGTCATTTCCTCCTATTTTTATGCTGGTTCGTCCTGTGGCCTGCCTTCTCCGTGACATGCCTGTTTTTTTTCCACCCTCCTGTGGGGAGAGATAACATTCTCAGGACTTAATTCTCATCTGATACATTTTATTTTTAACCAGCCTCCGCATCCTTTCCTCTCTGCTTCTTATTTTCGTGAGCCTTTTCTGCCTTTTTTCTCTGCCTTTCCTGGCTTCCCTCAGAAGGTGTGAGCAGAACATCCGGCTACAGTATATTGAGCCAGGGTTTTCTGTCCGGAGCAGCTGCTCAGGGTGCTGGGAACCTGCCCGGGCTTCTGAGGTCAGGGAAACTTTCTCCCCTGCCCATGTTCCTTCCTGTTTTAAATTGGGCAATTCACTCTTATCTTCTCCTTCCCCTCTGGGCTATCTGTTAATTTCCTTTTGTCTGTAAATTTATCTTATCTTGATGAAGGAAACATGCTTTAAAAAAAACAAGACAGCTGTGGCTTGCAGTGATTACAAGGGACTGAGTCTCCCACCAGCAGTGGCTTTGCAGCCTCTTAGGGCTCCCACAGTGTGACTGAGCCGTGACTTGACACGATGATTCTTGGATTGAGATGAATGAAAGCAGCCAGCGTCCACCCAAGTGAAGGGAAAGGGTTTTGTTTTGTTTTGTTTGTCATGTGACCTCTGACTGAGGCTTTCCCAGACAAGTATGTTAGGAGTAAGTTGATCCCAGCTACAGTTAAGTACATATACATTTTTTTCTTTCTTTTTTGCC